CCTTCCCCCCCCCCCCCCCCCCCCCAAAAAAAAAAAAAAACACAAACACACAACAGAATCAAATCCAGGAGCCATCTCAGCCTCCATACATTAATCGCCTGTTTCTCTATGTAATTTCCTGTCTGGTTCATTTCTTCAAAAGCCCCAGAAAGAAAACACGAAAAAGTAAACGAAATATTAGAGAAATTATAATGCAAATTGCACAAAGGTCACAAGGTTTGTCCTTCGAGTTACCCATTCAAAGTCCAAATACAGTCATTCACATCTCAATATGACTATTCAAGCGAAAAGCCCTCTTGCAAGTAAGTACCAAAGACATTATATGAGAAGTAAGATCAATCTTTCCTCAAAATAAATCCAAATTTTCCTTCCATCTATTGGCCTTGTACCTTAACATCACTCTGAACCAAAAATCTAAAGAGAAAAATGTTGAGGCAAATATAACATTGACTCTAAATGGAAATTTCATTGTTAGCAATGCATCTGACTCTGAAGATAAAAATAAGAAAACGGTAAAGAACATAGGAATTAAGAGAACGATAACAGTTCTTTACATATCCAATAAATCTAATGTATACACTACCTTCTCTTGAAGTCATCAGGCATAAAAAATCAATTTTGAACACCTATGATGCATATTGATGAGGTAAAACTTATCATGCCTGAAGTACAGTCCTACAACAGTTAGCTCCAACTATAACTGTACTTCCTCAAATGTATCCCCATATCTTCTATAAATCCCACTCTCTCCTGCTACACCAAGTGAATCAGTTATTCAGCTTAAATATGCTGAGCATCAGCATACTTCTCTTACATTTACACTGATGCAACTAGCCATCCTCACCTTCAACTTTAACCAAACATCTGTACCTTGGGCTATTCTATGTATTATTTATCATGGATCTAAAAACATTACCATATAAGATTAATGGAGCCAATGCTCAACTTCTTTAGCGGAGTTTTTCATAGCCCATCAGGTTTAAACAGTTTGTTTGGTCATTTTAAAACAATGTAGGGCTAAAACCTAAAAGAGAAAAAATATTGAGATCAGAGAAGAAGTGAGCATCGCACTGCCCATCTGTGCCCTAACCAATTTTATGTTTCTAGCTGCATATTATCCTTCCAACTTTGCTAAATGTTCCATTAAGGATATTTTTAGACAATTTGTGCTTTATATGATCTTAATATTGTATATTACAATTTTTTTGAATTATATTATCCTTTCATGTTGAGACTTAAACCTCGAGGCCGACACTTACCCTTGCAGAAGCAAAACTCCTCGATACTCATTTTAGCCTTTCTAAACATTGATTGGCAAGATCAATGTTAGCAACCAACATCTTAGTAAGAAGAATGTCATACATGTAGATTAAAAATCCAAACCGTAATTTTTGTAGGTCAGTCCAGACATTACATGAAAACCTCCACTAGACCTTGAAGAATCAAAAGGAAGAAAGGTGGATAGTCGACATATATTGCCAACAAACCTATTGTCAATAAGCATGAGAGCAGGAAGGATTATCCAATCCCCCACCTGGTTCCACAAGAATTCAGAAAAACAAAAACCTAAACTGGACAGAGCATGAGGCTTGGTATAAGCCAATCATGGAAGACTATGAGCTGAACCATAAAATGGGAAAAATATGTTCAACTAGATTGCCAAAATTCTTCTATTTTACTCGGAGAGAAGAGTATGCCATTCTGAGAAATAATCATTTCTTACCCATTTCCATTATGACCATTAGACGATTCAAATCCTAAATGGAAACACATGACGTCACCCATCTCAGCATCTTTAGGATGGCAATGAGATAGCATTGTTTTTGCATTCGTTTAAGTTTGCATCACCAGCTTTACCACATGCGCAAGTAAAAAATTTGTTCGGATGATTATTGTACTATATGTAATCAAGAGAAATGAAAAATGTTCACAGATCCAACTCACCCTGTTTCAGCAACCGGTTACAATGTGAGAGCACAGAAACAAATGGACTGAGTTTGTTACATTCTGCCAGCAATTCGGTAAGATACCTATCAAATTTAAACAGCATAGCATCTCCAGCTCATTAATCATGATGACAAACACAAGCAATCAAATATACAGGAATGAAGAACTACAAAAAATTGATTACCATAGCCATTTTCCACTCACCAAATTAAAATTTAGTTAAACAACAGTTTCAAGATACAATTGATCATCTCAGAAAATGAAAGAAATCGACTCTCCCTTGACAAACATGAAAAATTCTTATTCAATTTTTTATACAAGTTAACTGATGGGAGTCCAGGATTCAAACAGATTCTTAATTCATATCGTGGAGGGGGCGAGGTGCCTATCTTTCGTTCATGATCCATGTAGGAACCACAATATATAAATTTACAAAGATTAGAAACCTCTCTTAGTAATCAAACATCTGGAAAACCCAATTTCATGAATTACAAATTGCCATAAGCTTTAATTCCTATTGCACTTTTTCTTTTTGGGAATTTAAGGGTCCTTGACGACAGACCAAGGAGAAAATTTTAACTTGCATATAGTTATTTAAAAAAATACTCATAGAAGAAAGCCAAAGAACCACGTATCTTCAACCATAACACGCGACTAGGCTAACACAGATGCTTAGTGCATGTTTGGCCTCCTTTAAAGTGTTAAATTGTTTGCTGCAGCATCATTCTCTACCACACATTCAAACAATAAAATATTCTACACATAAATCAATAAAATTTTATTATTTTTTTAACTACACATTCTCCAAAAAATACTATTCAAAACTCCTTAATTTCTCAAATAATGGATGACAAACAGGGGCTTAATCTGAACAATCTCACAACGTTCAGACCTAAAATTGCCAAGATCAAGCTATCCGGATAGAACTGCCACTACAATTATTCAGAACGAAAAAATTCCACAATAATATCCAAACAAGATTCAGCAAAAACAAATAAATCACGAAAATCAAGATCCTGAGCTGACTTCCACTAAAAATTCACAAAATCAATTCTGAACAAACTATTTAACTAAAAACAGCTGAAATTCCAAAGATCTAATCTTGATTCCATATAAATACACGACTACAGATACAATAGGCAATACTAAGAAATAAAGAGAATAAAAAGCTATACTTCTCTTGCTCGAGGAGAGCGGCGGCAGCAGATGAGGCAGAGCGAAGGCCAGCAGCGCCGATGTGAGGAGAGTGAGGGGCAGAAGGAGATGGTGTGTATGCCATGTATCTGCCGGACGACATATTCTCCGGCACCACCGTCAGATCCACCGATCGCTGTCTGTTTCTCTGTTATTGAGTTAGAAGTAGAAGTATCTAACGAAAACTGTGCGTCGGTGGAGAAACCACAAAACCCAACAGGAAAAAGTGGTAAGCAAAACGAAAAATGCGAGCGTGTTCTAGGTGTGTATTTATTTATTCAAATGATGAAAGGAAGGTCCAATTGTCCACAGACAACGCAATTCACTTTCTTTTTTGGAGACTTTATATATTTTCGACCAAATTTATAAATCATTTGAATAAATCGATTACTTGTTCTGATTTTGGAAATTCCATCGAAGTTGAAGTTCGATTACGGGTCATCCTGTTTGCCATCCGAGTAAATCCCAATCTAGGAGAAGGAGACCCTACTTATTCATTGTCCTTTTTGTTGTTTTGACTTTCGAAATACTGTACTTATAGATTTTTGATGAAATTTATAAATCACTTACAATTGATCTTAAAGGATCTATAAAAGTCGATTGCCTTTTTCAATTTTGAAAACTCCATCAAAGTCGAATTCCGATCATGGGTCATCCTATTTGCTATTCGAGTGAATTCCAATTTTAAAGAAGGGATATTACTTATTTCGTTTTATAAATTCATTCCAAACGGGGGATGCGTATTCATTGATTTCGTTGACTTCTGAATTTTGATTGGATCAACTAGCATTCACTACATAATCAAGCGGTGGTTGGGATGAATTTTTTATTTTGTAAATAGTAATTAGAACATTAATTAAATTATTAAAAATAATTAATGTTGGCACACATTTTCGTTCCATGTATTTCGGAGTCTGATTGCAAATGTGAAAATTAGAAATAAACTATTATGGAGTGCATTGATTTTCGAAGTCACCATCGGTAGGACTTTAACAATCACTTTTCTCTGTTCTTTAAAATGTTTGAAAGTGCGTTTAGTTTGAAACACGACACTGGTTAAAATTAGAGAAACTGAATATGAGAAAGAATGTAAGCGACGTGAGATATGCGAGCAAACCAGTGGCAATGGAGGAGACGGCACCATTCAAAAACCTCGACAGCAGAGAATACCAAGGTCACAAGAAGAATGTATAACTCCAAAATCCTAGCTTTAATTTGCCCCTTCTCTCCCCCTATTTTGGTTCCATTTTCATTTTGAAGACCCTTTCTGACAATAATTGAGTAATGAAAAATGGTGCATCCAGTGGCATGGAATTGCATGGGCACGAAACTGGCATCCGGTTCAGTCAATAAACTGCTCGCATTTGGGATAATGAACATCATAGTCAAGTAAACTTCGGCTTCGAGTTCTTTTTATTTCAAATTCCTCACTTTTCCTGTATTTTTGTGCCTGGTGTTTCGCGCGTATTCGTCGCTAACAATTAAAAGGAATCAGACGATTGTGTAAGGAACAAACCTCTTGAGACAAAGTCTCAAAAATGGGCGTTCTTTATTGCCGATGACTTTACAATTGGAAATTAAAAACAAAATGCCTCCAAGGGACGCAAGTACACTAGTTACTGAAAGAAGTGTTTAAATCTAAGCTAAAAAATTTAAAATTACATGTTCTTTGTTCGAGAGTTTTTGATTCGGGGTCTTTTGCTCTATGTCTTTTCTTCCTTTTATACTCCTTGGATGATCTCTGTGTGATCAACCGCCTAAAAAACTATTTGATCGTTCTATAACTGCCCAATTTCTTCGTAATGGCCAACTTTGCATGGAACTGTCTTTGTTAACTGCTGCCATTACTTTTTGTCTTTCAACAGTCTTCAATTGAATTCCTTGAATCGTGGAACGTGATGGGACTGCTTAATAACTGCTTTGATAACTGCGCTTCTTGATAACCATAATACTTCATGTTTGCTAAGTCCTTGGGCGACTCAAAGATTTGGGCGAGAATAGAGTAGCAGCTCTGAGCGATGGCATGGCATTTCACTCGCTCAGATCCTAGGCGACTTGTAAGTTTGGGCGATAGTGTTACCGCGTTCACGGGCCTCCCTATTTGGGCCTTCATCCTGAATCGTCTGATTAGGCTTCATTCTTTGGGCTATCTGATTTGGGGATCCTCCAATTGGGATTCATTCCTTGGGCCGTTCGGTTTGGGCCAAATTTTTATGTGTCAACAATTACCCCCCAATATGGCAGAATTAATACCAATTATTAAATTTTGCCATATTCACTTTTGTGTTTCCAGCAACATTCGAAATTCTCAAGAATCTCAATCATTGTTTTCTTCCATAACTTTGAAAAGGTGCGACGTTTTGCAAACCCTTATAACCCCCAAATACGCCATCTCACTGCACCACTAAATCACGCCTCACTTTTTCGCGTTTCTCTCCCACAATTTACTATTCATCTCTTTGCTTCCCTACTACGTAACTCTGAAAAATTTCGTTTCGTCCCTAATGGCTACTTCACAATCTCAATCTAGCGACCCCTTTAGTTTTGATGACTTTCAGAAACTCCTTAATCATCCATACATAACTCCGAACTTTCTCGCACCTGCCAATGTCGAACTCAATGAGTTCTACCTAGGTCCTTTCTTCAACAATGCAGAGGCAGTCGAGCAAGCGGCAGTGGGCCAGCTGTTTCCTTGCACTCAAGGCCCTCCATTTCTAAACTCTCTGCCGTTGGGGCCACTTCGCGAAAGAGGTATTCGCACTTGGCCCAAATTTGACATAGTTTTCCGTAGGTGGCATGCTCGCCTTGTAGACCATGGTCCTACTAAGGCATTTTTTGATAATACTAGGATTTCTGATTTGTTAGAAATCTCTATTCAACCCCCTACTTTTGATTCAGCACTTTTTTTCGATCGCTCTAAGTTTTTGGTTTTCTGAATATAATACCTTTGTTTTCCCTCTTGGCCCCATGTCTATTACTTTAAGGGATGTTGGGCCCTAGTGAATCTACCACCTTTGGGCGATACCATTTTTCCTGGTATCTTGATTTCTGGTGGCGCCCCAAAATTTGGTAGAAACCTTACCGATTCTTATTCAAGCCTGCAAACCCTTCATAACCATTCGAGTGCTGAGTCTTCTCATACTAAGCGAGTGGCTTTTCTTCTGGTTTGGCTTTGTAAATATGTTTTGTGTGTGCCAAGCATAAAGCTCTCCCTGAACTATTTACCCATAGTGCACGAATTGGCGCGTGGCAGGCCTTTGAATTTATGTTCTTTCTTTTTGGCTGCCCTCTATAGAGGCATGACTTCTCTTCAAACTCAATTGAAGAATGATGCATCTCCCACTGGCAGTGGACCTCTTTGGTTCACTCAAATGTGGTTGAGATCCTTTTTTCCATTGCTTGGTGCTCCATCAATTTCTCGTCCTTCTGCTAGCTGCTATGGGCTAGCCATTGAACCCTGACTCCTGTAAATATGTCTAGAAGGGACATTTTTTCATTCTTTTATTCTTTGGATTCAATCCCTTCCTTCTTTTCTTTTCCTCCCTTTTTGACTCCAGACTATGTGCATCCTCCCTCTACTATAGACAGCGCGAGCACCTCTTTACTCATTTGGATCCAATTTTTAACCGGGAGGGAGTTATTTCATGATATTTTGACTGGGACCAATGCCAAGGCTGGGGTAGAAATATATGCTCCCCAATTTTTTGCTCACCAACTTGGTTTCGACCAAACCTGGCCTGTCCCTCCTTGCTACTCAAGGAACTTGATAGACCGCTTCCATGTTATTAATAAGGCAGAGGTGGAGGTTATAAATGCTCGCAATCTTCTTTTGACGAGCCATTTTTCATTAGCCCCCTTCAATTCTAGCCATGTCATCCATCCTCTTTTTGAACAGCTCTGGCCGTCAGTGAAGCGCAGATTATTTGCGACTGATGCCAATTGTGCCTTTCATTCACTGGACCAGCCGAGCATTTCTTCCCCTCTTCCTGTTTTAGTCACTCCTTTGTCCATCTGGAGTCCGTCTCCTCCTCGTCGTGCCAAACAGTCTGCTCGTCCATCTTCTTCTCTCCCTGCCAAGCCTACTACAGCCAAAAGTGCTCCGAGCCGCAAACAGCCAGCCTCAGCATCTCCTATTCTGGAGGATGATGTTGATGATCATGATGATGATACCCCTCTTATCATCAGGAGAAAGGTAATTAAATTGGTTTACTCACAAGCATATTTTTCCATATTTGAAACTTTTCTGTGTGCTGATGATTTATTTGGACTTCTTAGAAAAGTTTAGCCACTCCTTTAAAGACTTTGGTATCGGCAGCTCCTGCTCCATCATCTTCCGCTGAGGCTGCTTCATCCAAACCGGCTAATGAAGGGACTACGCTTAAAGAGACATCTTCAGACCCAGAATCCTCATCACAACCAATGGATGAGCCACCTTCTTCCTAGGGTGTCAACCTCCCAAACATCGAAGTAGAAGGTAATTCAGTTTTTTGATGCTTTACCTTTGTTTGTGCTATTTGTTTCTGATTTGTTGCTCTTGAGTTCTACAGGTGCTCCTATGAGTCTGCCCGTTGTGGCAACATCTTCTCACTCAAACAAGGGGAAGTCCTCACGAATGGTGGAGTCACAAGTGACAGACTTGGCTGAGGATGTGCCATCTTCCACGATTATTGATGAGGTAATCTTTGCTTCACTTTTATTTCCATCTTGGTCGTTGTAGTGAGAATCTTCAATATTGGCAGTTTTCTTCTTTGCAGGATGCTGACAAGATTGTGTGTTCCATCCAAGACTTGTTCGCTTCCTGGGGGCAAGTCAAGACATCTCGCCCTGCTTCAGCCGGTCGTTCTGCTACTTCTTTAGAGGAAGATACGAAGTTCCTCAAGCAGTCGATATTTGAGTACGTGTCCTTCATGGATATGGACATTGATAAGACTAGTGCTGCCAGACACAAGGATAAGCTTGAGCATTTGAATGCGAAGTTGGAGCAAGCACTGACACTTCTGTCGCTCAATCTTTCTGCCGATTTTAAAGCGACGTTAAAAGTTATCCATTCCGAGGTCCTCTCCTTGCTGGCCAAGAATGCTGAACTAAAGGCTAAAAGTACTCAATATCTTCGCGTCGTATCTGAAAAAGAGTCTTTGCGTCTGGAGATCAACAAGGCTGAGGACGAGTTGAAAGAAATCTCTTCCGAAGTCATGATTGAAGACTCTTTGATGGTTAGTTTGGCTGCTCAGATGAAGGAACTTCAAGCCAAAATGGACGACTACAAGGCGAGAATGGCTGCTAAAAAGTGCAATGCCTCCCAGGGAATTGAGCGAACTAAATCTTTGGTCGAGCAGTACAAGAAGTTGGAAGTTGATGATGATGTCGTGGCTGGATTGAACATCACTTCCTCTGGGCAGAACGAGGATTGGGAAAAACTTAGGGAACAAATTCGTCCAGTATGGGGT